CGAACTTTTGCTACGTCTTAGTTCGCGCACGGCTGCGCAGTCTTTTATCAATGAACGACCGGTTTCAGATACAGCGGTTCTTCGAAGTGTTCGCAACGGCTGCTTGGGTGAACACATGAATGTTCCTTTCGTTCAGTTGCCGAACGGTGAACAGTCTACACGAGCAGAAGACATAATGAAGGTCTTTGAAACACATTTTTCGAATCTTTTCAGGGCGGACAATGCGAGCGACGTGAACCACACCATCATAGTTAACGAGTTTTGCACGGGAATTTCCCGCGTACCGGAGGAGCTCCGCGATGGTATGTGCAGCCCAGTGACGCTGTAATTAATTACGCTTTGTGCTACAGCACATGAATGCAACCGCCGCCGCCGGCCCTGACGGGATACCTTTGAGTTTCTACAAAACCTTCCTTAAAACAATACAAGACCACCTTTTGACAATGCTGAATGGGCTTCTTGCTGAGGGAATCAGACGAAATACGTTTCGTGAGAGCAGAGTTGTACTCTTGCTTAAAAGCAAGGGAGAACCGTCCGACCCGAGGGCGTGGAGGCCAATTTCCCTACTTAACTCGGATTATAAGATATTGACAGCCATCCTTCCAAACCGCATAACAATCATTCTACCGGAAATAGGAAGCGACATACAAACATGCTGTGTCCCAGGTCGTACGATCTATACCTCGCTTGCGCTGACTCGCGATTTGTTCACGTACGCTACAAGAACACAAATATCTGGCATTTTTTTTCCTTGGACCAGGAAAAAGCTTTTGATCGCGTAGAATTGAACTATCTCTTCGCTGTGCTTGAGTGTTATGGCTTCCCAGCACATTTAACCGACACCCTCCGTTAACTCTACACAGACTTAGAAACGTCAGTAGTAGTGAATGGCATTACATCTGAACCTATTACAGTAAGTAGGGGCATTCGACAAGGCTGTCCCCTCTCCGCAATTCTCTTTGTATTATGCATAGATCCACTATTGAAACGAATCCAGAAATGTACTTCGATACGTGGTTTCCCTCTTCCAGGCTTGGGCCAAATGAAAGTAGTGGCATACGCCGATGACATCTCGCTGTTTATTCGGAACCTAGATAGCTACAGAGCATTTCTGCGAATATTCCACACGTATAGTTAACTGTCGGGAGCACGTCTTAAACCCGGAAAAAGCAAGGCATTGTGCTTTGGGATGCACATGGAAAAGTTCCCTGATGGCGTCCAAATCGTCCAAGGGGTTAAATTCTTAGGTGTAAGTTTCTTTTCGACTGGTGAGGTAGCCCATACCACATGAAAAGAAATCCAACACAAAGTGGACAGACGCAGTGAAGTCGGCAGAACGTTTCAACTACTTTTTACTGAAAGAGCTTATCTAGTTAAATCCAGCATAATAGCGCCACTGCTTTATGTAGTCAGAATTGCACGACCACCTCGACGGGTTTTGCTGAGAATGGCTACTGCGTGCGGCTCCTTTTTTTTTGAGATGGCCGCGCCGAAGCTGTTGCCTTGGTCTGCCTACCAGTAAAATGGGGAGGGCTCAGTGTACCCAACCTTGATGTAATGTGCCGCATGTTGGCTCTCAAAAACACCTGCGCACTCTTAGAGAACTCAACGTATCGAGGCAGGCAACTTGTAGTGTATCTCCTATGAACCTCTAGAAGAATTTTTGGTTTAGCAAACGACACGGGACCAGCTGCTGAGCAGCCACTAGCGTATTAAACACATGTTATAAAATCTTTGCAACAATGGCGAAACGATTTTCCTGTTCAAGAACTTATGGAAATGTCCGCCACCGACATGAGCGAATTAATAGCATTTAAAAACCTATCTGAAGAACAACGCCGGAAATGCCGGGCGAAAAGACGCTGGACTCTTACAAACACGTCTCTCCCCTACGAGGTCCGTGACCTAAACTGGCTCAGGGAATGGCGGGCTTTACCAACGGCCGACCGCCTTGCGGCGTGGATCGTGGCGCCCTCCACCACATGCCCGCAATGCGGTCGCGTCAAAACACTGAACCATGTCTTCCATTAATGCATAGTAGCGCGCACCTTTTGGCGCATGGTTACCAGGATGTTCTAAACAAGCATGCAGTGGTAGTCCAGCCACAGAGATAACTTTGTCGTACTCTTAATCTTATAAAAACAAAGGGGACTGGCCTGTCTGAGGGGACCCCCCGCCCCCCCCCCCCCCCAGAGAGCCATGTTTTCCTTACTACATCGGCTAAGAAACATAATGCTTATGCATCTTAACGCAGAACTAGTCATGCTGAGAGAAAACGCTTTCCTCCGACGGTGGTCTACGCGATTTATTATCGTAAAAAACAACAGAGTGTTATTGCCTTTCCTCCCTTATTGAGGAGGAGGTGGGCTAGAGCTTGTACTACTGTGACATTACAGTGTGTATTTTCTTTTCTTCTTTAGAAACATGTATTTTTGTGCAATTTTGTTCTTGAGTGCGAGAGCAAATTGTCCTGACAGATGAATGCAAAATATCACGCTTCACTGTGAATGACCTCACCTTGATTGTTCATATAGCCTTACTGTTCATTTAAGTTTAATCATCTCGATGTCATGAATGTCCTCTCTTGGTTGTACAATTTTCGCATTGTACGTCACTGCATACGCTATAAGTTCTTTCATTGTATAAAACAGCTTGCATTGTACATACGCATTGTTCACCATTGTCAATTTTTATGTGTGCACATAAGCTGTTAAGACATATCCGGAAATAAAATTCTCTTAAATGCTATCAGTGCAAGACTGCTACTGTAGACCGACTTTTCGTTTACTGGGCTCAGGTTTGCCCAAATAAACAATTCATTATTCGACTCGCAGTGTGCTCCATTCGTCCTCGTCACGACCCCGTGGCATTACGTTACACGCGACATGAACCATACCACTGGCGCGCCGTGGTATTCCCACAGCATCGTCAATTACACGCAGACATACTTGATAGTGCCTGGCATCACGCTCTGGTGTGGCGCTTTCTGTTGAGAACGTGACGAGTCACTGTGGAATGCCGATGATAGCACCTTGCTCCCTCAGGAAGTCCTTGCGCATAATCAGGTCTCGAGAACGCTGACAAAGAACACTCAAGCTCACCACTAAGGTTGAACCATGAAATTGAATTCATGCTGTGCAAACTTTGACTGGAGTGACGATGTGCCCGCCAGCAGTACAAATTGGCCTTAGTTAAGGAGGGTGGCCTGTCTTTCGCTTATAATAGAAAAATCCGCACCCTTGTCCAACAAAGCAATAACTTTGCGGCCATCAAGCAGCACTAGATTGTCTGACAAAATCTTTGCAGAACAAGCTGGTGTCTTCTGTATTCGGGAATCGTCGGTTTGCGGAAGTATCGATGGGAGGCCTTGAGTTGGTCAAGTCTGAGTGGTCTCGCCCCCTAAGGTCACTGTGGTAAGTTTTCACGGCGTGGGCTGGATGACCGAACCTGAACCACACCTAAATAGGTACGACGATTAGGAGTAAACCGTCGTGGTGATGGGGAGCTTTACTAGTGCAAGTGTGATGAAGGTTCGTGCTGCTGTTCCACGTAATCTTCATTTCAGGGGGGCGCTAACCAAACTTGGTGGCGGTGAGTTTGCCAAAAAATCCACGTTTTTCGCATTGTTCCAGAGTCGTCAAACACACGCAGGTATACTGGACCATGGCTTGGATCATGCGCTGGTGTGGCGCTTTTTGTTGAGCATCTGACGAGGCGTTGTCGGATGTCGGTGATAGCACCGAGCTCCCTCGAAAAGTCCATGCCAAGAATCAGGTTTCGAGAAAACTGAAGGAGAACGCTCACGCTGACAACAAAGGTAGAACAGCGAATCTGTATTCACGCCGTGCAAACGACGAGTGGCGGAAAGATGTCCCCACCAGCAGTATAAATTGGCCTGGGGTTCCAAAGCAACGTCACTTTCTTCCGGAGGGTGGCCTCTTTTCAAGTAATAAAGAAACATCCGCACCCGTGTCCGCTGAAGCACTGACTTTGAAACTATCAGGCCGCACTAGAATGTCTAACAAAATCTTTGCAGAACCAGCTGGTGTCGTCATCGTCGGGCAATCGTCCGTTTGCCGAAGCGTCAACGGAAGGCCTCGAGCATGCGCAGTTCGAGCGGACTCACCCCGGCAGGTCACTGTGTTTTTCACACTAATTTTTCCCGGCGTTAGCTCGGTGACTGAACCTGTGCCACGCTTGAATAGCTGCAGCGATCAGGAGAAATTTGGCCCGGTGGTGGGTAGCTTGGCAGGTGCGAGAATTGCGAAGGTCCACGCTGCTGTGCAGCATAATCTTCAATACATAATCTTCAACGCTCTAGGTCTTGCCATGCGGAAGGGTACGGTGCCCAGACTACCCTGCACCTCCACCAGCTGGTCACGTACTAAGGGCCATAGGGACAAGAGAGGAACAGCCAGGCCAAATGACAAGAACATGTATTGTAAACAAAATCCAAGACACTCTGTCTTTATCCTCACCGCCTTTTTCGGCTGGCCATGGCTTTCCGGCTCACAACACCAGGTGGCAATGTAAACCGTCAATCATCTGTCACGCATACCCACGTACCGCCACCCGTGTTATGCGTCCAGGCCAGACATGCCTGGAGGCAAGCATTTGGCTATGTACACCTCAGGCACTTCAAGTTATCCTTGCGGTGAAAGACATTCACAGTTTTCAAATTTTCTTACTCTCCCGTAAATATTTATGTATACTCCAACTAAAAAAGTTGATCACTAGAGCACCCAGATGAAGAGGGATAGATAGATAGATAGATAGATAGATAGATATGCACCTTCGTTGTGGCTGCATTTCATCAAAAAATCCTTTGCGTTTTCTAACACCAGAGGAAAATAACATTTATTGAAAGTATCTTGCGCTGCGCCACAATAGGTTCTTGGCCTACTGATTATCTCTACCTAACGGTCTGCTAAATAACAACCACTACATGCAAGTTTCGGTTAGTTCTTCAATAAACTAAATGGACACCATGCAAAAATTGGACATAATCATTTATTTCCAGGAAGGCTCAATATTTACCATGCATAAACGCTGCTCGATCAGCGGGAAGTTTTAGAGGAACCCGATTTAGTATAATTGTACCGAGTATGACCTTGCTGATGGACGTTTCTCGCTGTTAGTTTTATTAGCCCAACAAAACTCCACTGTACCGTTTGAAGGGCATGTTCCATTTCTACAGGATCCAACAGTGCAGTTGTAGTCTCCACGTACAGTAAAATTTAATGGCGGGTTTGTTGCATTCTGAAAATAAAATACGTGTGTGCTTACTCGCTTGAAGGGTAAATAAGAATAACATCTAGAGGAATGAAAATAATATAAATGGTATACAACAAGACAAACTGTGTTATGAAGAAAGCTGAATAGTTCATTAAAATCGTTACAACGATGGAGATAGGTAAAAATGACAATTACGTCAAATGAGCTATAGGCTTCATTCAATGCCCAGTTAGGTTAAGCAAGAATTAGCAGAAAACATTATATAGAAGAAGTCTGGTGATACAACGCACTCTAGGAAGGAGTTACTAGAGTGCGAAGTTTATTGGGTTGATGCAATATATATCGGAAATTGAATGCGTATTTTTAGAGACAGCAAAAAAAAATGACTTAACCTAATGTCCAAATCTCTGAATAACAAATGTTACTTCACCATCACACCTACAGGGCATGAACATTTAGCTGCCACTTGCCTTTTCATGAAGTGCTTAAGCTTCCACAAGCAGTGGGAGAAACAGCAACACAACCAACATTCCCACCTATGTTAGTTTATATTTAGGCGCGTAGGCATCGCTCACCAGTAATGCTGTAACTGAAGTTTGGCTCAAGCCATTCGACAATATTTGTGAACATTCGAGATAGTTTTCAGTTCCCATCGGGAGATTGCAATTAATGGAGTTTACACAAGCACTACTATGAGCGCCATCGATTACGTTCAATTTTTCTACCACAGAAATACAAAATTAGCACGCGTTTGGGGGCTATGTGGTGCTTTATTCAGAAAGAAAGGATTGCACAGAAATCACAGTGCAGATACACACACAGGAGATTTTGTCTCCGTTGCTGGTGCGCTGTGTTGTTTGCGCATTCCATCTTTCCTTAAATCGTACATCGAAGTAAATGTTTCCGGCCAGTAATCAGACATTGGATGACCGACGGTAACGAACACCCCCATCATTTAAGTTTGAGTAGTGTTAGTACCGTTGAAGGGCACAAGTTCAGCCAAAAAGCAGCTAAATCTTTTTCAGTGAGTTTTTCATGTCACTATTACGTGAAAATATTCGCCACGATAATTGCATTATCTAATAAAAGCAACGTATTACTACAATCTATAAAATGGCAATAGTTGGCCTTTCTGTTTTATTATATGAAAACAGGCCGGCACTTGCAGCACGCTGCTTTGACACAGTAAAATACGTATGAAAAAAAACATGTTGCACACAAGAGTTTTTGTTTAGCAGGCTTTTGCATGAAGAAGCACGTCACAAATGGCAACTGAGGGTAGACGGTGGTGATGTCTTAGGGTGGACGGTGCTTAGTCAAGCTGTAATAACTGCAGCTTTTTTGCCGTCTTCCCATTTTTGGCCATTGTATCTGCTTTGGTGAAAATAAAATAAATAAAAATAAAAAATAAAAAACCTATGCACAGCCAACTACCCCTAACTTGCTCTTCTAAAGCAGGCGCTAGGATAGCGCCACTTCCTCAAGAAACACCGAATATACAACCAATACACAAAAAGAGGGACGTTTACTTCACCCTTCTTCGACCGGATTGGTATTAGTTCATATGCAAATTGAAGAAAATATAACCTTTTGAAGCTTTAGATTTACTGTTAAAGGCAGCTGATGTTATCACGGGTTACCTCATATCGCTCTAGAATTTATTGCAATTACAATGACGAGGGAATTCTTGTGACATGCTTCTTGTCATCGTGGCCGCCTTTATTCTGTGTTAAAATGAAATCAATAATGTTACTACGCTTGGCCTGTGTTTTAAAAGAGATATAAATTGTCCGAGGTGTGGGCCCGTTTGTGAATCGAGCGAAAAGGAAACGCACAAGCCTGCACCAACTTGGCATTTGCGCATGCATGGCAAGGGCGTTGGAAGAAAATCGTTTTAATGGGTGCATGTCTACGCTCTAAAGTAGGCGCCGGGAACTCAGGTGCGTTGGAGCGTAATTTTATGCTTTGTCTTCCAAGGTGGAAAGAAACTTCGGCGTTAGGACGTGCCTAGTGTGCCGATTCCTGGATGCGGCACCGGTAGAGGTATATAGAAGAACTAGGGAGGGCGGGGAAGGCCAGCGCTGTGGGGTTGTGGCAGGAATTGCGTTCTTTCAGTGGCCGGGCGTGTTACCGCATTTTATAGGGATTAGCAAACTGTTGATTCTTTTGCACGGATTACGTTTTCATAGCACTGTTTCATGGAATCTGTGGGCAGGATGAATTGGGTATTCACTCGCTGCACTGGTCGTGTTTGCGAAGCCCAGTATTTTGATAGGTAACGCAGGGTCACTGAATAAAAGACTAAGATTCTAGTATTCCTATTTATAAGAATTTTTTTCCTTTCTGTTGCTCTCATCGCTTCGTTCTTGAAGCTATATTATGTCGTAACCTTGTGAACTACGTTACGTTAATCGGTATCAACAAATGCTACATACAAAGTTGAATTCACAAAAAAGCACTGGCAACTGCGCAGCATATAGGTGCATTCCAACGTGTTTACAAAAGTAACATCTTGCGCGCGTAGTGTGAAAGATTGTTGCAAGTTATTTCCAAAAAACTTTAAGAAAGTTCGTGCCTACTGCAGGTTGCCATGGTACCTGCAGAGTTTATTGCGGTTCGTATTATTCCTTGACCATTTACTGATTTATACTACTCAAGTGTCGTCGCACACTGTGTTTGTCGTTCTCCTAAGCGAGCATTTTCAGGCTTCAATTTTTTTCTGAACCTGCATATACATCGGTTAAGGCTATAAAAAAATTGAACAGATTGTGCGCCTTTGATGTGCCATCCTTCCTACTCGGCCTCGTCTATTTTGTTGAGCTTATCGCTCTCTATACATTAAAATGTACAATACAAATTCAAAGACCAAAGGCTCCGGGATTCGCTTATATAAGGACAAGCATATTACGAGGCTTAGCACGTTACATCACGCAATGCGATTATGAATAAATAAGAAAAAAACGTTCACTGTACTGCTTATTGAAATGATGACAATAGACAAGGAACCACATGAGCTATGAATTTCAGAGAAAAAAGAAATCAACGGTACTAGTATATGCGAACGGGGAACGAACAATGTGTCGAGACTGGAATGAAAAAATGTGATGCATAGAAATTTGTATGTTCTCTAGCACTCTTGCTGACAAAATCGCGTCTGTAACTCAAAAAAGCACTGCCTCTTTGCTTCGAAAATGCATACGGCTTCGCAGAAAGCAAACAAAGTAAGTTCCGCAGGAACGACCGAGCGATGAATGGGGTCGAAACGAATTGGAGTTTCACACAAAGAACTACAAGTTGCTTGAAATTAGCAGCGCACTGCGGAAGAACCGATACCGCAAGAAAAAACAAAGGAGGAACGAAAAAAACTGTCACAGCTCGATACTCGAACCGGGCTTCTTAAACACGAAGAAGGACGTACGAAACAAATACGAAGGAGAGAAAACGTGTTGGTCTATTCGTGACATGTCTTAGAGGCTCCTAGTGACTCTCAAATACTATGTGAATACACCGAGTGTCCCAGCAATACATTTAGAAAAACCAGCTATGATTGCCCTTATTGCGTCGTGCACGAGCACACGCCCCCTAAGTGTGCTCTTTATTGTCTTCCTCGACATCACCAGGATTGCCTGTGCCCTCTCCCACTTATACGCACAAAAACGGCTGGGCTGATGCAAGTGATGTTCATTGGCCTTCTTGTTCTTGTCGCTGTACACCATATTTCCACGTTCCGTTTCCCAAGTATTGTTATCATCCCAAACACTACACAATTCTCAGCGCAAACCGCGCCTGCAGTTTTTGAGAAGCTTCCAGACTGTTGTAGATCAATTCGATAAGATCACGCCTACTCTGCGAACTGTACAGATTATTCTGGAACCTACGCCACCGCTAGCAATAACGCTAGAACATTCGACGGCAAGAGTATAAATGCCGACGCGCTTCACCACTTGTCAGTAGTTGATCGACGGCCGATGCTCCGTTCACGGCTATCTGTGCAAGACTGCTACTGTAGTCGAACATTTACGTTTACCGGGCACAGGTTCGCCCAAATGAACAGTTAAATCCCAACATAAAGTCTCCTGTCTTCGGCCACGTCACGACCGCGTGACATCTGGGGGAGGTGCTGCTTCGTTCATGTACCGGACGCCCCCGTCCAGCCGTGAACCCAGCCCACGTCACAGAGAAGACACCGACGCCAACCAGGAGCTGCGAACAAGCCGCCGAAAGCAAGGGCTACCACCGGTGTACGGGCTTCTACAAGACAAGGTGCGGAAGACCAAGGCTATGACCACGACTGCAGCGACAATGACAACCGCAGCGTCCCTGCCCACGATGGTCATGCATCAAACTAGGGAACCACCAATTTTCCATGGGTCATCGTTCGAAGATCTGCATTCCTGGCAAGAAACTTACGACCGTGTGGCCGCCCTCAACCACTGGGACCATGACGAAAAGCTGCGTCATGTGTTCTTCTATTTGGAAGACACCGCAAGGACCTGGCTTGAAAATCGGGAGTCAACGCTCTGAACGTGGGATATTTACTGTGGTGCATTCCTGCAAACGTTCGCGAGCGTCACTCGCAAAGAGAGGGCCGCTGCTTTATTAGAGACCCGGGTTCAGCTACCAAATGAAAATGTCGCCATTTTCACAGAAGAATTGACCCGCCTATTCTGTCACGCTGACCCAGACATGCTTGAGGAGAAAAAAGTTCGTTTCCTCATGCGAGGGGTCAAACAGGAGCTCTTCTCGGGACTGATGAGAAATCGAGCGAAAACCGTCCAAGAATTTGTAGTCGAAGCGACGACTATCGAGAAGACCCTGGACATGCGCACCAGGCAGTATAATCGTCGCCTGACTCCAGATTGCACTGCTGCTCAAGCCAGTGACTCCGAAGACCTGCGTGAAACAATCCGAGCGATCGTGTGGGAAGAGCTGCGCAAGCTGTTGCCTTAGGCGCAGCCTAAAGTGAATTCGATCACCGACATTGTGCGAGAAGTTCAGCAATCGCTTCGAATTCCCCAAACACC